TATCAAGGAATCCCGGAACGCACTTTGATCGAACAGGACGATCACGTTCGGTAAACGGTCGTTGCCATCACACAGTAACGGGTGGAATTTCTCACGTTTTCTGACCTTGTCATCCGTCCGCGCAACGGCTTGATATGTCTGTTTCGGCAACGATCATGCACACATGCACATCATAGTGAACGGTGTTGGTGCATACTAATGTAGTTTGGAACGATCGATTAGGATATACAATGGACTTGCTTTTTCTGTATAGAGGATCAAGATTAAGAAGTGCGCATTTGCTGATGCTACAGGGTCGGGGAAATACTTTTAACGAAGAGACTAGATGAATCAAGCAACAACAAATTTATTCAAATATCTTTTAAACATGCAATCTGTCATCAGATTCGGCGACCTAACTCACCACTTATACAGTCCAATGAAAAGCTGGAAAGCTGATATAAAATTATGTTTGAGCTGTAGGTTTGAGTGCGACTCAAAATACATTCCTTCATGTGCTTTTGTCCTGTTTTCTCGCTGAGGACCGGCCTTAAACTTGACCCGCCAGTTGACTTGTGCACTTCAGTTATGGTTCTCTAAACACAGTGCGTCGGTTGCGGGATTGATATAAGTATTCCTAATTAAGCTATATTACTCTCGCACTATCTGCTAGAGAACAGGCACATAATTTAGTTCTGGTGCTCTCACACAAGTACAAACTGAGTAACAGAGTGGAATATCCGTCAAAGATATCTTTCCTGGTTGTGTGCACCTCAACAAAACCAATCAACGTGTTTTTTCTCCCCCAAGAACACTAAGGATAGCAAAATGCCACGTGCACACATACATTTGCCTATCTCTTATTATTTTTCGGACACTCGGCGTTTTGTGTCTATCTCGGCCCGCAGCGGTATCTTATCTGCATTATTGAGGTTTACTGGGACGTGCTGCAAATATCGAGCAGTTGTCAGCAAGTCAGGGATATTTGTAAGCCTATGGCTGTAGTCAGAATGCTTGGTTTAGGCGGACATGGGACATTTAGGGTCTTCTTACAAAACTGATTATATTCTCAGCTCCAATGCAACTTGAGCAATCAATTGTGTTTATGTAGTATGCACGCTATGAAGGCACCAGGGTACAGTGGTTCTCCGGAGTCAGGTTTTCACGACAAGTCCTGTGGATGGAAAACAGAAACAAAGCTCATGAGCCAAAGCCCAGTAAGCAAGGTTGTACATCACCACTACTTAGATTTAGATCAATCAAACTGACAGACACCGTATACTACATTTACATAATATTCGTCAGTTAGTTAGGTGCAGCTTAACGCACCGGAAGCTAGAACGATCTGTCAGCTTGTGGCAGATTTTATCCCACCGAGAAATATAGCCGTGGGAAAGACGGATTCTCATCAGTTCATTACTTCAAGAAATCTCTCAAAATGAAGCAAAATTTCCTGGCTGACCTACACACCAGGCCGTAATGTCCAACACGGTTTCCAATGAAAGTTCACTGGTAAAGACATTTTCTAGTCCTGCTTGCTGTTGCGCCAAAATCCTTGATTTATAGGATTTTTTATAACAAGTTGAACAGTGACGAGTATGATATCATGCGCACATTGTGCAAAGGAAATCATACCCGAGATGGGCGTCCGTTGAGGAGTGAGAAATTTCGCGTTCCAATTAAGCGCTTTGACATGCCAGAGAAGTTAACATCCTCGGGTTCCAGCTACTTTGGAACGAATTCAGTTGTGACAAGCATGCACCACGCTATTAATCACAGGCGATGTTCAGTTAACATTGAGGCACAAATCGTGTTTCCAAGAAGTAACCTTTTATAGATGAGGCTAACCATGCCTAACCTAAATAGCCTATGGTTCTGAACCCCAAAGGACTCCTAAAGGAAGAGTGGACTAGTGAGGAAACAAGTGAAGCGGAAGCCAATGTATTACTTTCCTTACAGTTGGCTTAAAGATGCGCGTGTCTTTCATCTAGCGCAGTTATTCATACACCTGTCCTATTTTGTTGCACACCACTCAGAGCCCTATTCATCATTTATGCCATTTGTAGCAACAGCTCTCTTTCTCCAGTGTGACACAAGTTATTTCATTTGCATCTGTGTGCAGTTCCATCAAAAATATGTATACATGCAAACAAAAATAGAAACAATACTTGAACGAGTGTCTGGCAGGTAGGAGAGAAATGATCGATTGGCTACTGATCAGGTGGCTGTGGATCCGAGCTTGGCAACTAGCTTGCATTTGGTTACAACCAGCCTCCAAGGCTGGCGAATAGGCCAACAGCCACCTGATAAAGAGCCGACAAACGCAACCGAACTATCGCCACTTCGACTGATTGCCAAGGCATGGTCAGACATTGGAAGGCGTTGTCATGCAGGTCCCTTTGTCCTTACCAGTACTCATCTGGTGGGCACCCTGAGATCGGACACGACCCTACGGCAGTTAATTTCAAGCTGTAACTCCCCGCAGCACCGATCCACTGACCAGTTTTTGCGCCTAGTGAACACATTTGTAGGTGTAAGTATTGTCGTCTTATGGTACAAATGTACTACTGTCCACCTGGAGCCACACTTACTAAACCTCTCTTCAGAAGTGGGTAGGTGAAGAAGTGGTCACGCTTTTTTGTCCAGTAATTTGTCATCGGTCGAAGAGATCATATGAAGCATAAGCTGGCCTCACGTGCTATGAATACCGCAATCTCAGCTTACACATTGAGCTGCGCGACAGAGCCTAAGCAATCTGTCACTGAATAGGTGTTGCGAATTGCAATATTGAAGGTCGGTTCAAGTTTTGTTCACACATGCAACCCTTCATTGTGTGCATACCAGCGAGTGAACGGCCTGAGTACAACTTCTGGCAAATAGAGTAAATTCGACTTTTGAAGCGAAAACGCACCATAATTTCGAAAGTCATATGGTTCCGGAAGATCATTTGCTTGTATTTTGGTTGCCGTATAGTGCGTCTGAAAAACCTTTCGGAAGACCACCGAAAACTGTATATGTTGACAGGTCTACCACGGTGTGGAGCAGTCCAGGCGAATAAGTCGAATAAAGTTTAGGTCCAGCTAAATGGGGGAGACAACAAGGTATTAGTATACTAAATTTCAACTGGGCAGTAATTCGGATTTGTATTCCAGTTTTGATGTATCGCTGCTAAACGAGCGGAAAGATAACTCACTATACAAAAAGGAATTGTTTGAAACCCACATTAGGGAGTTCTTCCGAGAAGATGAACTCAACCTACGATGATATTTCGCAAACTAGCGTGCGAAGTTTTCAAACATGTAAATAGTTGGCATGATAGGATTTGAGGAGATCTGAACAAACATGCGTTGAGCCACGGGTTAGTGATCGGTGGCCTGGCCACCCAGCACGTGTACACCAAGCATTCTTAGAAGAACATCCATCTCTGAGGTGGATTGAGCTTGTATGGTCAGTGAGTGAAGAATTCTAGCACGAAGTCCCGAATAAAACGGTCAGGTTTTCATTCCGTGACTCCTACTTGAACTTCATTTTGATCATTTAGTTCGGTGATTATATAAACAGTACACGAAAAATTTTAGGCAGGAAGCTCGGGTCTGATATTTGAACCAGAATGAGGAGCATTAGTAGTATACCACATAAAGGTGTCAGTCGCGTCTGAAAGCCCAACTAATGGCATATTTAGTAAGCACACCAGTGGTGGACAGAAGCGAGCGCTTTTCACTCACCATGTAAACTATGGCTGTTAGACATCCTTGTGCCCGGAATCAACGGTTGCGGTTCGTAAAATCAATCTCACAGCTCCAGTTTTTGTTCCCTGACTCTTTAGCTAATCCTTGGTAGAAATGTTTATTATTCCTGTAGGGAATTCGATGGCCTAGCCCATAAACTCCCTGTCTTACGTTCTTTTCTGTTGGGCAACGCTCCAGCATGGTTTGCTTCGATATTGTCAGAAATCTAAATTGCCTTCTGAATTACCGAACAACGAAAATCATTGGTCCCACAATTGGATAACCGTTATTAGAGATGGCTATTTGATTGTGACAGAGACAACTGCGCGTTATAAATGTGACCACACTGGTCCGACATAAATTTATTCACTGGCGTGACATGATCATTATTTAACTAGGTGGGCATGTTTTGAGCCCAGATTTTGCTGGTTTGCTGTTATCAGTTAATTCCATTGTGAAGTACAGTGAAGGGGCCCTTCCAGATATCAAGATGACTGTGCAATCGTGTGTGCATGAGTGATGCAGCTTAGCTGGTGGCTACTCCGATCGCTTTTCGCTTTAAAACAAACCTCGAACCCTCCAGATACCAATGAGGTTTCTCTGCTGACGGGTATCCTTCCCATTATCACTCCACATCGAGTCTAGTTTGGATGTCAATTTCGGTTCGAACAGTACTCACACAGCAGCCAAACTGGAACTCGTGATTCGGATAACATTAGACTGAATTGCCTTGAAAGGGACCAATGCTAGTTCGAGATACGCGTAGCAATTAACCCAGCAATCTGGACAAAATATTAAACCGGTCGGCACTGGTGTGTAACTAGAATGGTGGATGCACGTTAAAACAACCGCAAAGTACTGAGGTTTAGCTGACAGACAAAAAATAAATCAAAAACGCTTCAAGAACCCAATTTTATGGTAAAAGAATCTTAAATTTATCGGCATATGACTTTTGTAGCCCGGTATCCGTTGGCAAAATCTATCACCGAACAAGAAACGCCACCAATCTGTAAACACTACTCTCAGAATGTGATTTGATCATCGCGTCAATACCCACTGCACCTACCTGTTGAACCTCAAGGAGGGCGAAACCGGTAGAGGGCTGTCGAAGAATTTTCAGCAACCTTATGAAGAAGGCATTACCAGCATTTCTTATCGCTTGAGGAAGAAAGGAGTTAAAACTGTTTCTTTTCAGAGGGCTGTTCAATATGAACCATAATCAATCATTATATGTACAAGAAAATCGTCTCTTTCTGTAGTAAAAATAGCGAAAAATTCTGCAAAACCAGAGCAGCGACGAATCTGACCAAGTTGTGGCAAAATCTTCCGATTGTTAAATCACTTCACAAAGTTCTTCATACAAGGAATCAAAATACTGATTTAGCTGATAGAATGACGGTCGTAGATCGGGTGATGTCCGCCAACATTGAAGCATTTTTGCGTACAAAAACTCCGGGCAAGAATAGTCGGCTTTTATCAGTTCAATCTTGGGCATTTCGTATGTATCCTTTTCCAACAGATGACGTGGAACTGGAACTTTTAACCTAGGCTGTGGTAGACGGTGACCGGAGCACACATATTCTTTGATGTCCTTGGATGCGATGCCTATAAGATTAGAAAAGCCACAATAAACATATTACTTTCGCGGATAAACACTATTCATATTAAACAATTGTAGGTACCTGGTTACTTAGTCAGTTTCATTAACTTTCACCTGGATTTGAAGCAGGTTTTGCATGAGATCAATTAAGCACATAAGTCTGGCTAACTTCGTTTCTCAGAGTGATGGGAAAGAAGCTCTATCCAGTCCCATGAATGTATGTCATAGAACAAGACATCAAACTTGGTGTAACACAAGACTAAGCATCTACAGTCCACGCGGATATAACACATTATCTAAACGGCTCATGTCAATAATGACTAAGTGATGTGATTTAGTTAAGTGTAATGCAAGTGTAAATTGTAATGCGAATGTTGAATGTGATGCCCAGTTTAGTTTCCTGGTGATAATTTTTGCCACTGATGAGAAATGAGCAATCTTCATGTTACTCTTTTGAATATCCACTCTGAATTCTCCTAGACATTAAGATTTGTACACCATACAATCAAGAACTATCGGATATGGTTGAAGAAGAACCGACACTCCAAACCTCTGTCCGATAAAGATATGCGATTTCACGGTGATGAAGTTAATTTCAACTGCCTGAAAGACTTGAATGTGCATGATGATGAGGCGTGTATCACAAGCGTACATGTTATTGAGGTCCACATGCGGGGTTGGAGTCTGTGGTAGCAATCCAAACCAAAAATAGTTGATAGAATGAACAAAGCCAGTCACGCGGATACAAACGATGTGTGGAACAATAATTTGAACGTTATTCACTCTTGATTGGTCACCTTTTTTGTTTCGGTTAGTATGTTCATTCATTGCCGATGACATCCGTCTGCGAGTGATCGACGAAGGCGTACGAAAGCAAGTTGATCCTCTTTCATAAAAAGACAACCGGGTAACAGTACTTGAAGACTTATTTGCTTGCATGTCTTGACCAAGTACATTCTAGATGTGTGTTAAGTGGCGCCTTCAGTGACTGCCGCCCACCACATGTGGCTCTGCATACCTCTGAGGTGCATAATGAGTTAGCGCCCTTCCGGAAGCAAGCATGACCCCGAGTAACTTGCCCACCACTCTCGGTTACACTGTAGAAGGTTATAGAAGCCGGAGCTTTGAATGAAATAAGCGTCATTTAGTTGTTTCTTCCATGGTCGGCGAAAAGTCTACTGGTTGCAGAATGAGCTGTTCAGATTTATGAGAGACTCCGTAATATAGGGCGGCTTCGTGGCTTCTAAATTTTTTTGCATTTGCTTCCTTATTAGATAGTGTCCTGTAGAATTACCGACAAAATTGGTCCTGTATTCTTAGCTGACCAAAACTTGCTTGTTTTTTATCTATATTCATACCTTTCCTAAATTTCAGTTAATACTTTCCCGTGTGAGCTTTTTGTAATTCTATGGTTTTAAACAGCTGTACAAATAAGTTTGCAGATGAATGTACCTACAAACGTAGGTATTTCCCCCGCAAGATAATCTCTGCATAGGTCGCGCTTTTCAGAAAATTTCGTTTTCTCAACCATTATTACTCATAATAACGCGTTGGCATTATGAGCCACCTTTGTTTTAAAAACACGTGCTCCTGATGGAATTGTTTGCCCTGAACTTCCAAGTGTCAAGCTCCAGATGGAAATCCCATCCAGGTTAAAACCCTCTGGGTATCTTAGCATGAGTGATTTGGCTATTAGGATGGTAAAATAAGGTGTCCAATGGTGGCACTCACAGGCTTCATGCTTTTAGATCAATGTAGCGCAGATGTGAAATTTCAAATAGCTAGTCTCAATGCGACGTTCACAGGACGAATCAATATCTCGGCTAGTTAAATTCTCGCTCGATAGAAGAGTTTTCGTGTAAATGTCTAATCGCCCGCATGCATAATTATGTGTGTACTATGAACACTTTGTTGCCTTGGGGACACACACGTAGGTCACGCTACGAGTATGTACTTAAGAGATACAGAGATTCTACATATATTAAGGTCTACCACCCAATAATGGAATATAATCTAAAGGCCCAAGGGTGGTTAAAACCGGTGTATTATCAGTAAGACATCAGATCCGGAGAATGTTAAGGTGTGTCCTAATGGACGAAGACGATCGGCTAGCACCTGAATTTAGTTTACTGCTTGTTGCTTAGAAAAAAAGCAGCAAAAAGACCAATAATTTTGGTTCCCTGCTTGTTAGCATACTGTCGACTTACCATGGTATGGAACCTCACAAAAAGTGAGTATTTCGTATACCAACACTCCAAACGACCAGACATCTGATTTTGTAGAATACATTTGTTTAAGCATTCCTTCGGGTGCAGTCCAGCGAACAGGGAATTTCGTTTCTTAAATGTAAAAGATTTTGACGATCTCTTTCAGGTAAACAGCAAATAAACGTGTGACCTAGGCGTAAAAAATAGTACTGGCCAAAACCAATCCGAAAAGCCGTACACTATGAGGCACTTCAGTGTGCGACGTCAGCTTCGAATAAAAAATCGTTCAGTTGTAGCACCTTTCCGGTGCCTAGCTGCCATGCCACCCAAAAGAAGCACGAAAGCTGAGATACTGTCAGGTTGCCCAAGCCTAGACAGGGGAAGGCGAGAAGCGGAAGTCGGTTTCGAACCAAGGACCTTCCGGCCAGTAAAGTTGCGCTCTAATCACTTGAGCCATCTTGCCCCAATGGCACCTTCAGCCTTCAGACTTAATCCTCTGCGTCAAACAACTTCGTGAAATGGGAAGATTTATCTTAAGTTGTAAAAGTGGTGCGGAAAGAAGGGAAAGCGACATGTGACTAATCATACTAATTTTTGTGGCCTGTCTTCGAACTTCTTCCTTTTGGAGAAATCGCTGTCTTCTAAAATACATGCAGACATGTACTATGTTGTCAAGGTGAGATAAATGTATTTATAAGGACGACATATCACCAATCATACAAGTGGTTTGGGTGATCGTAGAATTCATACCTACATTGAATCCGCCTGAGTAGACCTCGTTGTGTTCTCTTTCAAGTACTCTGGGCTCACACGTTTCTCTTCCCTTAACGCAGAACAGCAACCGAGTTATTCGAAACCAAACAAACCTGACGTGGATACGTGAACTAAAGTAGCTATGGGCGGTAAACTGCAAAACATTTACTCGCAGAAATTCATTAGAGTGTGCTTATGAAAGTGGTACACCTGACGTGGATGAACTAAAGTAGCTATGGGCGGTAAACTGCAAAACATTTACTCGCAGAAATTCATTAGAGTGTGCTTATGAAAGTGGTAGGTACAGGGTAAAATACATGCACTAAAGAAATAGAGTGAACTCGAGGTTTTACGTTAAACGGGAGATTATACGGGTGTAGGAACAGAATCTGGGCAGAGCCATATATATATAT